ATATACGATGGTCCTTAAAAAACTATGCGGACTTGCACAGAAGGTATATTTGACGACATAAAAGGTCAAAATATCACACATAATATAAAAGAATCTACACATCTTTATGGTCTTCAAAATTATACGTATATCAACAAAATATTGTTGATATCAAATTTGGGTGATTTATAAGGACATATCATTAAAAAATTAGCAGAAAAATCTTCGACGACATGGGCATTTGAAAAAAATATAGGAGCTTACATTTTCTCAAGATTTTCCTAAGTTTTCCGGTAAAATATGAGTTACATTATCTAACATCCATAAACCATCTTAACATCCATACACCATTTTTGTCAAGTTTAAAATCTAAGAAAAAAATACGTAAAGCATAATTTTTTGTTTTGAAACCGAACACTGCAGGTACTGCAAGTAATTATGAAATATAGTGTGACATTGGTATTTCTCATTCTGTTCTTTACAATCCGGATAAAGTTTTCTTCCAGTCCTCCCGTATGGCCTTTTTAAAGAGGCCTGACGGGTCAAAAATTCCAAATTGTTATTTGAAAAGAAATTGCACGAATACCCTAATTCACTACATGTTTTATTATGCATGTTTTTGGATCCTATAATGACGATATCTCGAGCATTACACATAATTTAACAAAAGTGTCGTGCCCCGTCAATTCAAAAGACGTCAATTTCACTGACTTTTTCCAGGAATCGTAACGGAGAAAAATCACTATATTTTTGTTAGTAATTCAAATATCACGTCGGAAATCTAAATACATAGTAATCGAACAATATAAAAATACATTTGAGAGAATTTTGGAAAATATCTTAAAAAATTAATGAGTTTCATTTTATATTCCGCATGCTTTTGTTTCAAACAAAATGCCATGCTCCGTACCTCTACATCAGCAATATCAACACAGCGATAATTTTAGAAAAAAAATTTCAAAATACAGAAATTTTGCCCAAAATTTATTCGAATTTTACAGATACATATTTCAGTGAAATTTCACATCTATATGACGTCTATAAGAGTAGCAGGGTCTGCGTAATTTTTGAACGGTCCTCGAATAACTCAAAATCGACCTTGCAACAAAGCGTCACATTTTGAGAGCGTTTAAAGCTATGGGAAGCCTTAATACTACTGCATACTCAATGAACCTATCTTTAGAAATTTCTTTGCAGAAGCATAAACATGTAATAATAATGAAAACAGTAACCTTGCCTAAGATTGAATAAGTTATTACATTCATTGTTCAGGCAAAGAAATGTACTTTAATGTATGTTGATAGCTGCTAGGAAAAGACTTTCCGAAAAAACATCAAATGGTTCGAACTGTAATATTACCATTTACAAATAATTTTCCTTTAGATCCTTGACCTATTTTTATATCCATATGTAGCAGAATTTGTGCAAAATCTTATGCATGAAAAGAGATTGAAAACTTGCTCACAGTGGACTTCAACTCGAAGACGTACTGTCAATTAACAATGGTAATTTCCATTATAAGCTTGAGATAAAAATTACCACAGATTGTGATACAGCTTGTTTCATATTTGGATAACTAACAACTGGCTGTATGATAATCCTGATGATTTTTAATTTTCTATCGTCAACTTTCCTTACGTATGCAGCAATATACCTAATGTAATTACCTGCATACGGAGTTCATATCTCTCAGTTTATTTGATAAGAAAGAGCATGATCTATTTAAGAGCAATTTCTATAACGTGGTAAATATTGACAAACAAGTTGATATTCTGAATGCATTTTAAGTCGTCGAATAGGCTTTTTATAATTGCCTTCTTTGACCGAGTGCCAGAAAGCTAGGGAAGATATTTGTACTTAGTAAGGCAATTTGTTTTGAAAGATTGTCTACATGTATCTACAATTAGAAAAAAAATTACTTTACTATGATATGATCATGAAATACATTTGTATCCAAAATATCGTTTACTTTATTTGTAAAAATTCGATATTATAAAAACATGAAAAAGGAGGCACGCATACTTTATCTATATCAGATAAACGACTCTCCAAAGGAAGAAGACTCGGTTGTGATAGTTATTATCATATGCTAATTCTTGGAAAGAAAATCCTTATTTACTCAACTTATTATCGAGATTGGAACATTTCTGACAAATGGATTTTTTTTTCATAAAACTTAACTTGCATGATAAGAAATTAAGCTCTCGGAAAAGTCTTTTAAGTTCTTTTAGAGAATGCTACAGAAAGTCAAGTGGCCGCTTAAATCACATGATTTTTGCATGGATGGAACAGTGTTAGATGAGCATTATAAGAAGAGAAGACTACTGTGAATATATATTGGACACCGAAACCGAATGTTATGTCTTCCGTTCAATTAGTCGTGGACTTCTTTATCACCCCTCGTATTGTTGTCATTCCCATTTTCTCTTTTCCTATAAAAAGCTTTGCTGATTTTTTTATTTTCAAGCGGTTAGCGTGTTCGCTAACCACTTTATGGCATGTATTCAACAAGATTACGCATTTTCAAGAACAACCGGAAACCTAAGGATCTATCTATGAAAAAAAATTGCAACTTTTCCGATCTTTGACGGAAATACCCGAAAGCCTGCGCTTAATTATCTGGGGTTACATGCAAAATTGCAGGGGCAAATTTGGAAGTGAAGATGAGAAAAATAGTTCTCTATAATAATAGATTATTTAGGTACATTTAGCGTAGTGTTTGGGTCCTAAGCTTTTAGTTACATAATCCAAGTGCAAGTAGACATAAGTAACATCGTTGGACTGAACATATATAATTGAACACATTCTTATCAAATCAGTGATTGCAGTGTTATATTTTGTTTATTATTTATCTTTGCATTGATTGTTGCAAATACGGGCTGTGTTTTATTGGTTTCTTCACTCTGAAACGTACACATTTAATTCCCGACACCGCAAGAAACTGTTTTGCCTTTGGCTAATTATCTGTCATTTTATCGAAGAATTTAGTAAGGCCTATTATTTGAGAAAATTTGAGATAATTTAATAGTGAAGAGAAACCAGGCCTATTGAAAAAAATCATGTAGCTTGCTGCACAAAAAAAAACAAAGTTGTGTACAACTTCTTTACTGATCATGAAATATCATGTAAATAAATTGGGTTTATTTTCATCACTTCTCATTTGCTTACTTTTATCATTGTCCCAGTATCTAATAATAATTTGAATCAGAGTCATCAGTTGCAATTTTACAGCAAACAGATGGAATAGTTTTTATTAAACAATATGAGTGAAAACTGATGACAATATTTATTGGAACTACCCAGAATACTTATGAAAACAGCTGAGAATATTGGAGAACAACTGAGAATAATTAAAAGAACTACTGAGAATATTTATGAGAACTACTGGGACTACTTTGCTAAAATCGACTGAGAATATTTATGAGAATTTCTTAGAATAATTACAAGATTCATGAAAATATTTATGAGAACTACCGAGTAAATTTAAAAAAGAAAATAGTTGTTATCAACTTTAAAAAAAGTCGGCTAAAAATTTCTGAAATCTGAAAATTTCATAAGAACAATTACATGAACATGATGAATTTTCATAAAACATGCATTGAGATTTCTTAAAGCATATTTTGAGGCATCTTTGAGTATGGAATCATTCAATGTTATGAAGAAAAAAATCGTTCATCAACCGAACATTTGAACTTTTGCAGAAAATAGCACTCGTAAGAACTAGGATGATGAACAATCAATACACATGTGTCACAAACTACTTTATTTATATTGCCATTTACATATTAACATTTGCTGGAAATCTATGTTAGGTTTTTTTTTTTAATTTTTTTTTTTGTTTAATAATATCCTATATATGCAAGTGTTCAAAACAATACTTTGATCAGTTGATGTAGTAATTACTTGTAGTCAAGGTGATGATAGGTTTTCTTTTTGATCAAGATGGAGGCAGTGTGTTACAGATTGCAAAAATTCATGATGAAAACCTTGCTAAAGAATATTAATGATTTAAATACACATGACACGAATACAATATTGATGAGGGGTGACACACTGTACAGAAAAGTGCACACAGAAGATTAAGTTAATGGTCTATTGCATGAAGAATTGCCTGTTTTTATTATTTATGAGGGTAATTGTTTTACATTTCGAAAACCAAGGTTTGGATGCATGTAAATAAAAATTAAAGGTGGCATAGATGGACTACTCCCACTGGAATTTAGTTCTTGCAATGTCCAGGCGTAAAAATGCATGCATCATCATTTTCCATTCTGCAGAAGTTACTACATTCTCAGTTTGGTCGTAACTTTGCTTTTGGTTCACGTAGTAGAGGAGAAGAGGAACAGCAATAGTTTCAGTCTTCCAATAACTGCAGAATCTTTGTTCATTCTTGTTCATTTCTTAGGTGTCGTCGTGCGAACAGGGAATTAATTTCAAAGAATTAATCAAATCCATATTGCACCTAGACTTTTTTTTAAAATTTTTTATAGCATTCTTCATCAGTGAAATTTATCCGCACTTGCACATTTTCTGCTTATGATTTTCCCATGCCAATTTCAAAGCAAGCATGCTTACCGCTTACCAGTAGTTTCAGTACTTTGATTTTATTTTTCGATCATTTTAAGCTTTTTGGCGTAATGGATATCTTGTCAAATGGTCGGAGTAAAATTTTTCAAAAGTTTCACCAATTCACTTAAATTCGAATGAACCAGAAATTTATATCATGGCTTTCATAGCTTTCTCCCGTTGTTATTTAAAACTATTGAGTTTCTCAAAACAGAATTGTGACAATAACTGCGTGAAAATGTTAATGTGTGTTTTTATAGTAATATTTATCTAAAAATAATAATCCTTTATTCTATTTCAGAGGGTCATTATCTCTTTTCCTGACATCTAAAATTCAAAAACAAAAATACGGCTAAATGATTGTCAATTGATGCTTATTTCTATTTTAAAATTTAATACATATTTATATTGTCTACTTCTGTTCATTTAATATTCATGACTATATGTAATTGTAGCTGTCTGCACCTCCAGAGATAACTGTAACCAGGGCAATACGTTTATGGTGTTCCCTGGCTGGAAAATGCCTTGTCCAGTCGATCACATTGATTGTTATAGCAATACATGCTACTGTTCTCCAGACAGGGTAAGTTCTTGATTAATGATACATATACTATTCTTGTCATTTCTTATTTACTGCTTTATATATATATATATATATATATATATATATATATATATATATATATATATATATATATATATATATATTTTCCAAACCTTTCGATTTCTTCTCCGGTACCACTGGGTCATTTAAACTAAAGTTGCCAAAAAGCATGTATGGGTGAAATGATTTTAAATAAAGGATCACAATAACCTCTTTCAAGCAAAAAAAAATTACGATTAAGTGTACATTTGGTGGAATCTTTTTAAAATGTCCTTCTTAGATACCACTGAACCATAAAAATGAAAATTATTCAGTACATGAAGCTTTTCTTTACGGTTCTTAGATGAAATAAATGGATATAACAAACTAATTTCGAAAAGTATTCAAGATGAAACGTCAATAAAACAATGCAAAACAGTACCAGAGCAAACACGATCTATCAAACATCAGATGTGGTATCAGGTGCCTTGGAGAGGAGTGTATATCCCCTGTCAACCGGTCATTCCTGCTTTGTGTGCATTGTCATGATCGGTAAATAAGAGAAATCCGTCGTCTATTCAGTGTATGAAAATGAGGGACTAAAAATTAGTACAAAAAACTTTTCAGTCAGCATTTGCATCAATTGTATATTATATCTGATGACAAGGCCATTGCATCGACCATATATAGAAATTACGAAGTGATGGCTTTAACAAAACTGCTGATAATCTTTTTTCCTCAATTTGTTTGTCAATAATTTTCCTCGTTTTAAAAATTGTTCATACCTAAAGCATGGTCTTTGATTTTGGAATCAACTAGGATATATAAAACCTTTGTATGCAGACGATGAAGGCATAAGGCTGAATAAGTAAGGGAAGTTGACGAAAGAAGAAATAAAGGCATCATCGTGTTTGCTTGTTAGAATACCATTAACGTCTTTCTCAAATAAAATGTCCAAATTTGAAGCAGGTGTGTCACACTGACTCTGTTGTAATTTTATCTCAAGCTCATCAGAATATATATGTGTAGCATCGACATAAGAATGGAGATTGCTATTCTTAATTGATACGTCGTCGATATATCTAAATGTCGAGTCGAAGACCAAAGCAAGTGAATACTTGGTTTCGAGAGCGTGATTTACAATGTACGTACGAACAATATAGGATTTAGCACAATTCGGCTTCATATGAATACAAAAAGAGGTCTGCAAATAACGGGACGAAATTCGTACCCGTGGAAATTCCAAAACATTATTAGAAGACCTGGTCTCACAAAATAACAGATATTTCCAATCAGAAACTTACGCATCTTTTAATATCAACTTCAGATTACTTCTGTGCACAATCAGAATGCTTTTTTAATAAAATAAGTTGCAATTGGTCCATGACAAGTTAAGTAAATTTTAAAGTTTACGAAAGTCAAGATTGTTCAAATCATGACCACTGGATGTAGAATGGCGCCACAATGGGGGATTAAAGGTTCGTATATAAATATATCAAAAGGAAAAGTGAACTTAAGTAATTCATTATGGGCCCTTTAATGTGCCATTTACATTACCAAATCGTTCACTTTTAGTAATATTAAAAAAATAGTGGATATTTCTATTAAATATTTTTAAATGCCCGTGGATAGCTTAAATCCGGAAAAGTTGTACCGTACCTTCTTTGAGTTTTTTTTTTTTTTTTTTTTTTTTTTTTGTTAATTAAAGTGAATAGATATTCAAATGGACACTTGAACAATCTGGTGGTGGATAATAGTCGCGTGCGTTTGCGGAATGATACATTTTGTGCCAAATCTATTTTTAAACAATTGAATGGAGTTGTTTAGTTGCCATATTGATCAAACAAAAAAATTGGTACTCTTGCATTTAAAAAAAACCCTAGGATCATTGAATTTGAAATTAAAAACGGAATGTTTAAGTGGCTTTCAATACCTGTTTTACTGTCTTACATGAATGTTTGACACTTCTATGAATGACACTATAAACTCCCTATACCCTCTCTTTACCCTCCCGTGTTCTTGAATATACAGCTCAAATTAAAGTAAAATACTCCCTAGTTCATTTAACTATTAGAAAAAAAGTTCCAGCAATATCATTTTTGGAAACTCATTGTATACTATGAAAAGAAACAAAACATTATAGTGTTATTTTAAAAAATAAAGTGTAAAAATTATGAGTAATGGACTTTTACGAGAAGCAATGACTTTCCAAGTTTACGGTTTATTTTTGACATTTAAACCTGCATTATGTATGGAGGTATGGAAATGATAATAGATAAGAACACCCTTTTAGGGGTCAAAGGCTGTGAATTCCGAGAGTCGAGGGTAGGGTGGTTGTCGTTTTCCTAAAGGAAAACCGATTTAAGGGGGGACCTATGTCCGAAAAGTCTTTGTGTGAAATTTTCAAAGCTTTGACATTTCTTTCCTGACCACTTGCTTTAAATTTTTAGGCATTAAAATAATACCTTTATGTGCTTATTTTTACACAGGAGCACGTGCAAAAACAGTGTGTAATGCAAAAAATTGATTATCTTTAGACATTATTGTTTTACTCCAAATATGCGCTAAAAAGAACCAAAAATGTCAAATCACAATCGAAATCAACATGTATTTAATTAATATGACTTGTATCTTTAAAATGAAGGCAAATTCATTGTAATTCATCTCGCATGAAAAATTATAAAGGAGAACAATGTAAGTATCACCCCATTTTCTTGTCGTATTTTTTACAATTCCGACATGCATAACAGGTAATATCTTAAAAAGTCTTTGTGTGAAAATGTTGTAATTAATATTTTTTAAAGAAGTCACCCCTCTCTTTATTTTAACAAAGAAAAAAGTACACCTTTATGATATAATAAACGAGAAAAATGACGTTTTCTTTTATTTTCGTTCTCTTCTGTCTTAAATATTGACCTTTCTGCACTAAAAAAAGTAAGTTAGCACTGACAAATATCTGAATATAAATCTATTTTCCAAAAAATCGATTATTTTGTTTTGATAAGAAATAATTTAAACAGATAAATCCCTACTTCTTCATTCTAATCATTCAGCCCCCCCCCCCCCCTTTTCCCCGTCAACAACCAACACCTAATAGAACCTAGGAATGACTTTATACAATAAAATCTACATCTAAATCGATAAAACATATGTACAAGTACATTCTTATTTTTTTTTTTTAGTTTTATCCAGAAAATACAATTAATGGTAATCATAAAATTTAACATATTTCCCTGATTAAAGCCGCTGTCTTTGCTGAATTTTATCTTATAATTTTTGCATTTTTATATCAGCATATCATGAAGGTATTTCTTCACAACTGAAATTGCTATGAATTATCAACCAAAGGAAGAGAATTCTAATATTAACAAACTCCATAAATCAAATAAAATTGTTATAAATGATAAAAAAAATTCTTTTTGTAAACTGTGTACTTTATTGATTAATAACAATGTTATGTCTATAATCACAGTTGCAAAAGTCAGTGGAAAAAAACAAACGTCGCTATTGTGACGTCACATAACGCTGCTTTGACGTAGAACGACATAGATCCTCCCTTAAGCTTTGAAATAACCAGTTTTTTGGTTGAATAAAATGTTGGGCTAAATATTTATATCGAAAAAGGCTTCCGTACATTGTTCTAGTGTAAGAGTAAGCTGTCAACAGTGGAAGTCATCGCTACTCGCAAAAGCGCAGTTTCTATACTAGTAAATTCTATTAAAGATTTGCTTAATCATGAAAACTGTTGTGGCTTACAATACAGTAGACACGTTGTTCTATACGTTGTCCAATTACCCTCCAAGCGATATCATTTAAAGTATATGCATTTAAAGTAAATTATAGCAAAACTCTGAAATTGTTTATATACTCACAGTACTCCATAATCGGTGTATTATGTGTAGTCATTTGTCTTAACGGACAGTGTTCTCTTTCTCTTCTTCTAATTCAACTTCACAAAATGTGTTGTGGTGTTAAATTAAGTTAACCATCCGGAAATTGAGTACAGATATGCAACTTTTTGTTTAATTAAATCAGGTAACGACCACAGAACTGCCAACAACTCCAACAACAGCGACTTCAATATTAACAACAAAGACATCGATTCCAACAACGAAGACTTCAATTCCAATAACAACGACATCGATTCCAACTACAAAGCTATCAATGTCAACAACAAAGACATCAATGTCAACAACAAAGACATCAACAACAACTAAGGTAATCAAAATGAAATTCATATTTTTTTTATAAACAATAAATGAGTTTCATTTATATATTGCAATCTATAAAACTGCAGCTGACTTTTGTCGATAAAACTTCGGATGCAACCATTCCGTCGACAAGCGATTAGCACCTTGAAATTACTTAAGGTAGAATCTTTGACGGAAAAGTCTTTATCACAAGACTTTTAAAAATGATAAATTAGCACTTGTTTATCAATTTCATGATAAACATCACAACATTTACACACAATCTTCTATTCATTTTTGATTCAAATTCATTTCATCAAGAAAGTGTTCTATTTAGTTGTCAACCAAAGATTTCGTAGGATTTTGGCATTCCCTCAAAATAGATTACATTGTGTAATTTGAATTTCAATACATGAGATAGTTTTGAATTTGTTCATTTAAAGTCAATGTCTTGTAAATGAAAGGCGCCTGCGGGTTTCTCTAATTTAAGAATTGCATCCAGTCATTTAGCTTTAGAAACAAAAATATATAAATTGAGTATAGGTACATATATAGAATACTTTAGCATGATTTTGAAATTGTATTCCATGATCTTCAAAATGCTTTATTTCTAAAGTACGTGAAAAGTAACATTATATTAATTATGATGTCAAAGTGGATCTAGCACGGGCTAACCGAATGATGTCATTCGGTGTAGGTTAATGAATTTACCGCCCTTCAAAACTAATGTGCTTTATAGAAGAAGAACCTATTGTGACGTCGCAAACTGAAATAACACAAACTAACAGTGCGAGTAAAAAAGTAACAAATTAATTTTCAACGCATTTTTGTTCTATTTTCACGTTTATTTAACTGAGTTGATTTTTTTAATGAATTGTGTCAAAACAATGTATATTTTGTTGTTCCTTAAGTATTGACAATGCAATTAGTTCCTAATGTGCATTCTAACGCGGTGACAAGGTATCGCGAGAGAGAACGTCATGGATTTTTATTCGATTTCATAAAGCAAATTACACTGAATGTTAATATATAATTACGATAAACGTAAAGAAACCATTTTTTATGAAAAAAATTTTGAAGAATTTTCATCAAGTATACTCGGATGGTATAAACACTAGTCATTCCATAAAACTTATCTTTATCTCTATGAAAACTAAACATGCTGAAGAATATTTCATTGAACAACACGCATATTTTTGTAGGTAACGACAACTGAGAAGATAACAGAATCAACTAATAAAATGCCAGTTACAACAGCTTTGCCAGCAATAGTTACATCAATTCAACCAGTCTCTTTCCCAATACATACTTCTGGTATTGTTTGTATCATTTTATATATATTTTAATTTTTATTGTAATCATTAAAAGGGCTTAAGGTTCATCGATACTTCGATAAGAGGGATAACTCATAATGACATAAATGTTTAATGTAAACCAACAACTTTTATTCGCGGGTATTATCCACGGGTTCCGCAACCTCCTTATACTCGCAAATATTAATCGCCGCGAACCATTCAGTTTGCTGAGGATTTGTAGAGAATGTTTCCTCGGTCGCAGAAATTAATCGTCACAAATTGATTACAAACTGATGAATCGCGATTTTTTTTTTTTTTTTTTTTTTGCCCTGCAAGCTATCGTATACTTGTAATTATTTTACTATAAAATAAATTTCTTTCGGAAAATTAAAGTTAATCAACCTTTGATATGGCGGATCAGTGGGTTTATGAATTTTAACACTGCATTTTATTTTTTCTGTAGAAAAAGACTTAAAATATCAATATTGATATTTTAATATTTGCATTTGGGAAATAAATACTTTCACTCGAATGGGGGTTTTTTAAATAGTTTGACAAATTGAATCTTCGTTTTTCATAGAAAATTAAATAAGTACAATACCCTGTGTACAAATCTTTTCCGAACGACCGTCATTTTTTTTTTTTATTAAAACGTCTGTCCGTTTTTTTTCCAAAAACATAAACCTAGCAGTATGAATATGATAAAGTTTATCTTTTTAAACGTTCATCTGAGCTTTCCTGATCATCCTACATTCAACAGAAGATTAAATTGTTTCATATGAAAGGCAAAGCCCCCTTGGATAGTTTCAATTGTTCAAATTATGACCCCCGGGGATAGGGCAGGGCCACGATAGGGATTCCAAGATGTAAATTACGAAACAGTTACTAAACAATCTTTATTGCCTGACGTCACGGCGTCAGGCTGTATAAGGATTGATAATTGCTTGATCCGAAACTAATAGATCATACCCAGAGTGCTAGATTTTGTGCAAGCTGATTTACATTGAAAATCTTTTACCTGCATTTTTAAAGAAACTTTTTTCAGGGAAACAATTATTTTACTGATGCAAAATAATGCAGTATTTACTTTGTTTACTCTGTTTGCATGAAACAGATTATTCCATGTGATTTACCGTTTCAACGTGTCCGTGTATCTTTTTTTCTGCATTTCTATACTACTGGATCAGTCCATTTATGTTCTACAATAGGGGTGAATCGCTCTTTTCGCGCCAAATGTCACGAGTAAGCGATCTTGGCGCCTTTCTTGGATTGTTCTATTGTATGAAAGGGGGTGCTAACTTCCATGGAATTTGATAAAGTTTGTTATTGTAACCCAGGTTCCAGACGATTTGACGAAAGAAATTACCTGTGCGAAATCTTGGATTTCTTTTCCACAAAGGCCTAAATGGAATGTTGGTTTTACCTATTTCGTTCTCAAAAAAAACATAGTACCCACGTTTCAGGAAAAAAAAGATCAATGAACACAAACTACTACTGTTTACTTCATTGGAGAAAATGCTTTCCTACAACATATGTATTTAGTTAAATCCATTCTCTAAAATGTTCACAATGAATGATTTGACAACAGATTTCAGAATAGGTGTAGCTTTAAATTTAGATCCAGGTGTAGATCAATCTACTAACTTGCAGAAAAGTCAATCGCATCATCTCTGGTCTTTTCGTCAGAGGTCGAAAAACAAACTCGAATGTATCGACATCATCGGATGTTAAAAATTTATACATTTCATGTTCATAGTAAAAACGGAGTTAGAAGTCCCTTCTATAGTATATTTTAGATAATATCATTACATTGAATAAAGTTAACTCCATATTCCACAGAAAATAGGTCTATATACATCATCCATGCTTTTATTTCGAAGTTTGTGAAAAGGGGTGGGGGGGTGTCATGGCGTATAAATTAACAATACATTTGTGGTCTCCTTCCCTAGATAAGGCCCGAGGAGTGGGACCGAGGAGTTGCGATTGGCAGAAAACCCACATACATTCACCATTCTGTTAACAACTCTTCAGAATGCAGCAAAGGCATCGTTCTTTTACAAGTTAAATAATTAAATATTTTTACAAGGTTCTCAAATAAAAAGACATACCGGTATATCAAACACAAAAAAGAATTGCTCTAAAGGTTTATCACTTCTCTTACAGATATTGATTGATTACGTCAGGCAAGCTTTTTGAAAAGCTGTTACTTGGAAATCTTTTAGAGCCACAAGTCGAGAAAGGTTGAAACATGTTAAAGATTTTTCGGATGGTGTAGATAACCATCCCGGGTTAAGGGCTTTTAACTTGAAATATATACTAGGGAAAATCTTCAAAATGTTTCTTCTCAATATTCACTGAAAGAAAACCCGAAACTTGGATGGGGTGGATTAGATTAAAAATTATTCATATCAAGAACTCAAAGGGAAGGATGGGGTCATAGGTGTTAATCTGGCAAACAGCATTGCTAAAGACTCTCAGTTGAGAATTGTAGATCAAGGGTCTTTTGTAGTGGTCAAACTTTTTCTATAAAAGTACTATACGCATAGTTTTACATGTAAGTCTAAATTAAGTTTTATAGTCTTTTTATCTCAGGAAAAATCATATGACCCGCAAGGTACATACTAGTGATATTTTCTTAAATGCACATTGAAACATTTTTTTTACTTAATTAGGCAAGACATGTAGTCTTTTGACTGATTGTATTGGAGAAATATGTCCCTTGGGAACACATCCATACTGTAGATACAGTCTGACTTCAAATAGTTGCCAATGCACAGGTACGGGTGTACACTGCAAGTGGATTTAGTTTTACGGTAAAACTTTTTCATTCAAAGGTTGATTTTCCGAACTTTTGCCCATTACGATGCAATATTTTATTTTCTTTCGTTGAAATGTTTTCCTATGCGGAATGTTCAGTGTTGCAACCACTATTGAAATAATTATTGAGTGTCGTTATTTCAATAGTGGTTCCAACAGTGCAGAATACTTTCTTCTGTGGTTTCACTTTACTAGCATTCTGCATTTTACTCGTTTTCAATATCCTTTTTCTTTTAGAATTTTTTTTTTTTTTGGTTTTCCATTTTCAATGTTAATTACAAAAATTAGTTTTCCTTATATTTTATTTAACTTCTTTTCACTAAACATGCAAATTTTATTTAGAATTTTATTTTTTACATTGATTATACCAAATAAGGCGCTATAAATGAATAATTTTTAAAATAACACATATTTATTTGGACGTCTTAGAATGTACTGAACACAGCCATTGCTCATGTTCTAGTGGATTACAGCCTCACTGTTCCTTTGATTTCCCCTTGCAGACCTACTTTTGTCTATGTAAAGGTAAAAGAAATATTTACTGGAATATATTTCATTTTGTTTATATGCTACAAAATGTTTAAAAATATATGTACAATAATGATAAAAAAGATTTGGTGATAAATGTTTTTTTTTAAAGATTATTCCTGTGTACTAAGATTATCACTTAAAAAAATAATATTTGACGAATTATTTAAGTAACTTTTATTCTTTCAGCAATACCCGTTCCCGATCCAACCATCAGTGGTAATATAAATATATTGTCCTTTAATAAGCAACACAAAGACATGCTCAGTTTTTGAATGTATCAATATTACTTGTTTTCAGTGCCCAAGGGATTTCATTTCTTAAAGAATTTATAAATAGAAATCCACAGATTCTATCGAGATCAGCCATGAAATCTTGAAAATTGGCCTGTGAAACAATTATCTAAAGCAGTATTAATTTAAACATGGCAAATTGACCAATTTACACGCCATCCCTTTTACACGCTTTTTGATCGGTTGAAATAATTTGATTTACACATATACGCATAATCGCTCTTGTCTGATGTATACACGCAAACAAACCCTCACTCTCTCTCTCTCTTTCTCTCTCTCTCAATTGATCGATCGATCGATATTATCGATTGTTTTTTTTAGTAGTCCGCAAAGTACATAAACAAGATGAGTAATCATCGTCTACACATTGCTGTAAAACAGCAAAGAACTACCGAGAACTTGTTATCTAGCCATTTTACCACATTTGTTCCTTTCAGGCCATCTCATTGGAAAATAGAAGATCAACCTTGTGTTCAATTGGATTGTGCAGCACATTAAAATCATTTACTGTTTTATCTTTATATCAAAAGATTTTATCGTCAGAAAATTTTAGCAAAGGTGTAAAGATATCTTATGCTGCACATATATAATGTTGAAGGATACAAATATTCTTCAAATTTCCAAAAATTACACATACAAGAAAATGTTTAGAAAAGACTGGGTATATTGATGATAAAAATTATTATGTTTTTGAAAATTTTGATTGAAAAATGCAGAATCGTTTTTAAACAGTCCATGAAAAAAACCCTTTTTGTAATTTCCAGATATTAAATACACCAGAAAAAGATACTTTAAATTGAGATATACATGCACATGTGTGCCATCTGCTAATTTACTTGTCGGGACAGATACGCAGCTTCAACTAAGTAAAACAGACAATATCTAAATGTTATTTTTACAGAATGGTTGTTATTTTTCTTTGTCTACGTATGGCTTGCAATAGAGCAGGGAAGATCAGAGAAGAAATATATCATATAAAGATGCCATTTTGAAACCAATATCTTGTTTTGTTGACCATTGATAAAAAAAAAACAGTATTGCCTTATATCAAGATTTTTTTTTTGTTTTATATTAAAGCTTATAATTACTCCTACGAATCAGAAGAAATAAAGAAAAATATTGACTACAGGTGGAATAGTTCCAGGTGCTAGTGGTATATGTAACTTGGAATTCTATAATTCAATTGATCTCCGTTATTAGTAGACCTATTTTTTATTCCTATAAAACAGAATTTGTGCAAAATCTTATGCATGAAAAGAAGAAAACATTTACTGTGGCTTTCAACTGGTCATTTAGATACTGTAAACGTATCATATTTGGCGGTGTATTCTTTTTAGAACTTTTAGCGTAAAAAAATAATTCTGCATTAAAATGCATTAAGGAAACATTCTACCCTAACTTGTTTAAAAATCACTGTCAGCTAAATATCGTACACGTTAAATCTGTATATCGACAACGTTTTGTCAATTAACATTGGTAATTTCCAATATGATGTCGATACGATATATCCTAGTGAGCTTGAGATAAAAGAGATCACAGAGCCTAATTCATTCGTTTCATATTTGGATATTTTACTTGAAAAAGACGTTAATGGAAATCTAACAACCAAGCACTATAATAAATGCGATGGCTTTAACTTTACTATCGTCACCTTCTCTTATCTGCATAGGGAGTGTATATATCTCAGTTGATTCGATACGCAAGAGCATGCTCTACATATGAACAGTTTCTAAAAGGAGGTCAATTATTGCCGAACAACTTGATGAAACGAAAATTTCAGCTGTCTTGATTAAAGCCATCATTTCTTTAGTTCTATGGTCGATACAATGACCTTGTTATCGAATACCATTTATCATTGAGTCAAATGCTGACTGATGTTTTTCATACCAATTGTTAGTCCATTATTTATACACTGAATTGACGACGGATCTTCTGTTATTTCACAATTATGACAATAAATACACGGTGGGTCGTCACATTTATCTTATTACTTGGTTATAAGATTACAATTAACGTCTTTTTTAAAGTAAATAGAAACAGATGTGTCTGACTCATTTATCTCGGGCTCTACTGGATATATCGTATCGATCTACAAAAAGAAATTACATGTACCATTGTTAATTGACAATGCATCGTCGATATATCTGAAGGTCATGTTGAAGGCCACAGCAAGTGTTTTTTTTTCTATTCACGTATAAGATTTTGCATAAATCTTGCTTCCTCCATGTATGATACAAAAATAGGTCTGCTTATAACGGAGCGCAATTGGTTTCCATGAAATTTCCACTAGATTGTTGGAAAATCACTTTTGTTTTTACCAAATTTGTCAATTTGCCTTGCCACGACTCAGCGAAAACAAACTACCATTGCTGTTGGGATGCCTCAAGCTGGAATGGCACAAACTATTGTTGCTGACATTTTGGAGTTCATCGTAACACCATCCAGTCATTACATTTATCGACACGTTTTAAAAAATCTTGTAACACACGGGATCAACCAGGTCCTGGGTGTCCTCACGTGGTGTCGCTTCGACAGGAAAACCACATTATAGACTTGTACATTTGAGATATCGTTTCCAAACAGCAAGTTTTACTGCTAGAAGCTTTCCTGGACTTCGACCAATCAGTCCAACAACTGTGCGTAATCGTCTGTGCAAGCACGACATCAGACTAAGACACCCGGCTGTGGGCGAATTACTACTTCAACGTTATCGTATTACTAGTCTAGCATGTTGCAGACAAATTTGCTATTCAGAATACAGGACAAGAACAGTAGTCTGTTCACTGACGATTCCAAATTCCAATTGGATAGCAGTGACGGCCGTTGTAGAGTGTATCAACGCATTTGGGAGCTGTACCAGGACGTTTGTGTTCTGTAACGGCGACAGTTCGGTGGAAGTAGCCTTATGTTGTGGGTTGGAATCGCAGCACCTGAAAGGACCCATCTATAAATTGCTAATTGAAATTTCACCGGCGTGCGCTATCGGGATGAAATTATTCAGCGCCATGCTATACCCTTCCTACAGGGACAGAAAAATCATATCACTCAACAGCAAGAAAACGCAAGGACACATGTTTTTGTATTTGTTGTCTTGCGTTGGTCAGCTGTTCTCTCCCTATTTCGTCGCAGATCAAGCACGTTCGGGATTAAATGGAACGACGTTTACGTCATTTGCCAAATCTGCCAGCGACTTTGGCTGATCTTGCGCAACATTTCACAAGCATATCTGAGCACATCAATGGCATCAATGAGGCGCCGTTGTCAAATTTGTCTGAATGGAAATGGTGCTGACACATGTTATTAACTTTGTTTAGTGAAGTTTGAATACCAGTGTCTTTCAGTTGTTAATAATTTTTTGTTATTGACGTTAACGTTGATAAATTATGAAACGTTGTAATGAACATAGGCTGAAGAACTGTAGCTCTCAGAAAAAAATATATTGACAGACCGGAGAGCTACAGTGCAACCCATTGAGAATCTGCCTAATTATTTCGCACAAAAAGTGCACTGTATTTCGATTTATTTTTCAGTGTTTTTAAAACTGTCATCTCAAAATATTACTAACCATGTATATATATTCCTAAAATATTCATGTACTGTTTCCACAACAAAACATTTCTTTTAATTAGTTTTAATAGCCCTCCTGGCAATCAAATTGGTATCATAGAAAATGTTGTCTATTTATACTGCCATTTTGATTTGTAAGATATTCGGTTCAACGCGCTGTATTACATGTATTTAATAATGTGCAGTATCTTTTTTCCGCTGGTACACTGTACATGTACCAAAGGAACTAAATTTAAAGTCAATGATTAAATTTTTAGGGATGGTATGAAAATAAACTATATTTCGCCTTATTTTGGTAGTCTGATTGAATTTTTTATTGTTAAATTGAGTATTTTAAAAAAATATTTATTGATTATTAACATGTACCACCATTAAAAAGTATATTTCAAGAATATAAATTGAAGTGGCTTAGAAAAGATTCTCATTAGTTGTGCCGCTACGTTATACGTCACAGAATGGTGTAAGTATTGAAATTTGTTTACATGTATTATATATAATAATAACATCGGTATTACAATGACCTATCAAGTGCGTTTTAATTGTGTAATTCACTTACATGTAAAATTTAATCTGTACGTGTTATAAGATTTTTTTTTTAAACGCAATTGATAGATCTCAAACAACAAGAAATAAAGTTCACATTCTTTCAATTTTTTTTCATTCAATTTTTTTTTAATTTTGTTTTTGCATTACACTTTAATTGATTTGAAGATCTATCTCGTCTTTACTCTGCAGACAAAAACATGTCTGCCAATAGTTATTGTCTTAGTAACTCTGGAGTATTCGTTATCCTTGGTGGCCGAGCAGTCTTTTATGCTGGTTGCACAATATGCCACGGCGCATGTTGTTGGATCGCTTCGATTTCCACATAGAGCATCTCTCGCTACAATTATCGCTCTCCTGTATACAGGGGTATATTTTTTCTTGGCGTTCTCCCATTCTAACGTGTGGCTTTGCACATCAAGCGTGTTGTATTCGTGGTATCGTTTACCACCGAACGTATACGTGACTGATATAACGCCATCTAGTGTGTTTGGATAAAGGTTGGATCTGATGCGGTTGACAATTGTGTAGGCAACAGCTATTTGGCCTTGGCTTGATTCCCCTCGAGCTTCGCCAAACACAATGCGTCCAATTTTCTCAATATCTTCATTGCTGACCTCACTGTGAAAGTAATATGGCACTTTAATTCATTAAAAAAAAGAAAATGAATATTCTACTTGATTTTTCCCACAATGCATGGAAAAAGGTTTTAATGATAGAAATGTAAATTAATACATGTTATCCATATTTTCTAGTGAGAAAGGCTACAACATAGAACAAATTCCAAAATAGACTGGTTTTCCCTCGTATTTTGGATTAAATCTGTCTTCCAACAGAATGGCAGTTGCGTTGTGAATTATTGTTTGCACACTGTTACCGTTAGCTATATTCTTTTTCGTACTGAAATCTGTCCAAGAAATTGTACGTTGCCTATTTCATAGATTTATATAGATAAATTTAAAAATAGAGGTACTGTGAGCGATAAGCTCACTAAATGATACCCCTGCCTCCCATGGCAGTATCCGTATTTTGTTGTGGGAATCCAAAAATATGTGTCAAATCAAAATGTAAAATAGGAGGTGCACAATTGCAATATGTAATAAAGATTCTGTGAAATTTTCATCAAATTTCATTCAGTGGTATGAGAGAGGAGTTGCGGATAAAAGATGGGTATCCCAAAGCGTACCAGACAGACGGACGGACGCACGGACGGACGGACGGACCTACAGAAAGACGGACAGACATTTTGATTACTATACACCCTCCCGCTTTTCAAGGGGGGTATGTAAAATTAAATGTTCGAATTGAACTTTGAGAATTTTTATGTAAAACAATTATGCTGTATAATGTATGATTTGTGAAAAAAGATTTTCACTTATATTGAAATTTAAAGTAATACATATACATGTATTGTCTATAACTTAGGACTTCTTATGGGACTTTTTTAATTTCAAATGCATTTAACTAACATATTTGTATGGAGGTAAATTCAGTTTAATGCTCAAGCATGAATGCATGAATCTGTTTTTCAATTTTCGTAATTTTGTGTGCTTTTAATGTTTGGGTTGATTTGAATTTATGTTTTATTTGGGAAGATAAACAAATTTTCATAAAAGGTTATTCAAACTGTTCATAGAAACAGTAATAAATAACGATCAAGAAATTCAGAGGGTGTTTCTAATATTTGGAGCTCCATTATTTGAAATGCTTTAAAAACTTATGATTACATTATTGAATTTAAGAAGTATTTTCATATCTGCTGATAGTTTATTTAGCAAACATTTTTTTTCAACGGTCTTTAGCTACAAGAAATATGAAATTAGGTTAACAAAATATATATTCAAGTCACATCACATGAATTCAAGAAAACGTTGCATTGAACTACATGTATGATGAACAATACATGTTATCAATATCAAGAACATTTACAATATATACAATTTAGTGTCAACAAATCTATATATTTTCTTAAAAGTCTAAATTCTGTAAAAAAAAAAATCCTTACCAGAATCGACTGTGTGTTCCCTTCAGGACCAAGACGAGTAGAACAAATTTCAGTAACATCTCTAAAGGGGAAAATCCGTATTAATTTTATTACATTTTATCCTCAAATTATATAACAGTCTGTGCATCAATGATGTTGTTTTCCCCAATCGTCATTTTCCCCGGGGAATCGACAAACCAAAAAAAAAAACTAATTTATTTTTGGTCATTAAAAGATGAACATATTAACATGCTATATAAAGAACGCTTATTTACAAATCTATTATATTTCCTATTTCTGCAATGTCGGAAATAAAAAAAGTACATTGTAAAGAAGAGTTTAATTTGGCTACTTTGTTTGAAAGGTGAATACCGTTTAGAAGGCCTACTGCGTTCATTGACTATACTTAGACATATATGTATGAGATTTATAAATTCTTTCGTCAAAATTTAGGTATTCTGTTTTTTTTTTTTTTTTGTTTTGTTTTTTTTTTATGAAAACACATCATACAATTCTAATTGATATATGATATTATTACTTATCTTGCGGTAAATTATCAATGAATAACAGGTGTTAATTACGCAGTACAGTTAAGGCAACATTTTCTATAAAAAGTCACGGAATCCGATACATATAATGTTTAACAGTTTTATTTTCGAGAAAGACATTCTAGTTAAAATAGCTATTTCTTATCTTGAAGAGTATGTCCATCGCTTTTCACATCGGTATTTTTTGACATCATGTGACCCCCTGAAGTCACGTGGGCTCCGATTTTAGGTCAAGAAATGAGATGACGTTACGCACGGTGTTAGTACACATTGACGTTATGACAAAATAAGGTTAAAAAGTCATAGCGTTGTTATAACGTTTTGAACCTTATACATGCATATTTTAGATCTTTAAATGAATTTTATTTTTCAAAAGTATAAAAAAAATAAAATAAAGGGCACATAATGTTCAATGTTTGAACTTTCTTTTTTGAAATATTTAGATGTTTATAAATAAATCTTAATAATAAAATTTTAATCACTGAAATGTCAAAGGCACTCTGTGAATATTCTTCTTTCTATTTTTCTCACTTGTCTGTCTTTAAATAAGGAGAAAATATTAGTAGTTTTCTTTCGACTCAGGTGAGCTAAAAATGAGTTAAAATTTTTATACTTCCTACTTTTCAATGGAACTTGTGTCATTTTGAATTAAAGAAAATAAGTATCAATTTAGTATATTGAGGGAATGAAAAAAGGAGGGATGGAGACGTTTCACCAGTATTGAAAATCTGGTTTATCACAAAAATTCTAAAATCTTTTTATTATTTTTGGCGAAAGAAGGGGGAGGGGGCTCTTATAATGCATGCTTCGTTTAGTAGGGTATTTTTTTGTGGAACGATATTATTTTGGGTTTTCATAATTTTTTCCTTTGGTACATGTGCACATGATGATTAAGTGAAATTAATATAATTTGTGAAAAAATCTCCAACAAGCTCCGGGGTTGAATATTGGGCGTGGGGTGTGGATGGCTCCTGCATGTCCACAAGTACCTGTGAGCTGGTACTTCGGACCTGCATGCATGAAAAAAGCCACGGCGATAATAATATGACGCTCCCGACGTCATATGTACGAAATGGGTAAAATGACGTTTTTCGTACCTGTGACAAAATGGCTACACTTTTATCGATGCTTGCATTTATTTCATGTAGACCATTACTGTAAAGATTGTGTAATAAGTAAATGCAGCATTCAATGTTCTTTCAAGCTGCATACATGATTGCTTTATATCTTACATTATTTTATATATTTTTGATATGTTACTGAGACATATTTAGTAACAATACAGTGACTCGTGCGTGCATAACAAAATGGCTACACTTAAGAAAGCCTTCCTAATATTTACGTTGGAAAAGTAATATAAAATGTATCAATTCAATTAATCTAAGAAATATATGTACTAAAAGATTATTCTCCAAAATTAATATTTGTCTCGGATTTATGTCTGGTACACATCTCCATTTCGGCTAATGTCAGTGTAAGGAAGCGATTTCTTACTGTTAGACATTTTACTTACACACTGTAGATCCAGTCTAAATTCATGAAATTGATAAAATGATGTTAAAAATTCATCAATATCTTAAAGAATGCATATATTCTATTGTACCCCCTAAATTTCATTCAATTCAGAGAATTGTAAGTGCATTTTTTCATACCTTTTAGTTGCGCGAACAATAATTGATGTAACGTAGGACACGGGAATTTCGCCGTAATTGACCAATACTGAGTAACGCCTCATCATAGTAAAAATAATTTTAAATTATTTAAAAGAAAATTTTAAGAATTATTCATTACTTTAGATAACATAAATGATTTTATTTTTAATTTAAAGTAAATAAGACATCGCGAAACCGCCAATTTCTTTGCGACATAAAGAGTTAGATATTATAGTACCAACACCGTGCGCAACGTCGATGTCAAATTTAACCAAAAAGTGCAAGGGCAAGGCAAACAAAAAATTAACTGCAAAATGTTTTATGTTGGCACTATGTATCTATACTTTCTCAAAAGAGATGCTCATTCAGTTAGTTTTTCGATATAATTAAGTTATTCAGCTTAAACAGTCAGTAATGTATGAAAAATAGGATATTTTCCTAATTTCATCGCGAATTATAAATTAACTAAAGGATTACAAAGAAATGAGCATCACTTTTTGAAAACTATACAATAAAATAAATAATTTAAAATAAAAACCTACTTTTTAGATTGTCGCCATGCCCTTGCACTTTTTGATTAAAAATTGAAATCTTGGAAGAGACAATCTAATTTTAGTTTTCCAACGCATCATTGACCCAGCATGGGAGATAACTCTTGAGTAATTGATATAGTTTGTTTACCTCGTAAATTTTAAATAAATATACATGCGGACAGGGCTGGACTCTTTTTTTTACGTAATCAAACGGTATGCATAAAAATCGTTGACATTTCTTTCTTTTCTTTGTATTCGTTCTCCATATATTGTATCATCTTCGCTAGCCAAGGGTTTCCGATCCGATACCTACTCTACAACCCGAGGGTTGTAGAGTAGGTATCGGATCGGAAACCCTTGGCTAGCGAAGATGATATTGTATACATTTAATGTCTTTCAAACCTCCCGCATTTCCTCAAAGATGTGTAAATACATGTAGTATTACATACAAACAGGTCTAAATATTGCCGATATATTTATGTAGAACACAAATGGTTAATTAAAATATAGCTTTCATTATTAATTAATTATATATCTATTCCCCTCTCACACCTCTGTACGCATAGGCGTCGGAACCGGGTTGGGGTGTGTGTGGGGGGGGGGGGGGTAGGGATTAGCCTCCATACTTACTTGCAAATTATATACGTGATGTAGGCATTGGAATTTACCTTTTTCTTTTGGTTAAGCCCCCTCCCCCTTTCAATTAGCCCCCTTTCATTTGCTTCCGACGCCTATCGTACACAACCTTGTGTTAATATTTTTTTTCTTTCTGCTTATGTTCCCCGATCGCTTTCAGTCAGACCGCTTAATGTTAATTAAGTGATATTAACTAGGTTTTAAGTTTTAGGAACTAATTAGAAAGGATTGGGTTATACTCCTGTATTTGTTAAGGAGACAGCCATTTTATTCCGAGGGGGGGGGGGGGGCTAGCGGATTTTAGAAATAAATACTTGCAGATCAGTGATCTCCGAGTTTTTAACATTTTTCTTCATGTTAGACTTTTCAATGAAGGGGAAAATGAATAAATAATATGTCCTTCATTTCATTAATCGGAGGAAATAAATATTAATCTGTTCTTCATTGACATGAAAATAAAAAAATCTGATTTGGAAAAACTCGCCCCCCCCCTTTCCCTCAGAATCAAATGGTGGTCCCCTATCCTATTTTTAATCAATTAAGGGGATATCTAGTCTTCTGGGTTTTTTTTTTAATTTTATTAAAAAATAAATGAACACAATGCACATGCTGGACATAAGATCTTTATGGACATTAGTACCCTCCACACAAAATAGTATGCAAGTTAAGATTTTCTAATCTTAATGGCCTTTTCAACACATGAACAGTAAATAAATTAAAAAGTCAAATTATTTTATTTATCTAGAAAATTTAATAAACATTTTTTTTTCAAATCCAATGATAGACTGTAGGCCTAGGAATGCTGGGCAGGTGCAAATTATTTCCATCACTTCATGTTCTTGTGGATAAAATGAATTCTGAAAATATGAGAAAATCAGGAAATACCATTATTGAAAAAAAATTGTGTTATAAAAAATGAAATTGAAAAATGCATTGAAACATTTCACATAGAATGCATATACATGTTTTCAATTCTTCTGTTAGTTTTATTATCAAAACTTTGTATGATTTACAGCTAATATTGAGCATACCATTTTCCTTAAATTAACTTCCTGCCTGAGTGAATCCATTAGTCCACGGGATGAGCTATGCCTACAACACAATATAATATGCAGTTATTTGCTATGAAATTACTAAATATATATTGTAGAATAAAATGGCATTACATTTTACAAAAAAAAAAAATGCTACATTGTATGCTGTAGTTAATTTATGTAATTCATATAAATGGAGAAAAAAATGTGTTACAAAACTTCTCTGGGAAAGTGAAACTTCTGACATAGAATTTACAATAGTTGATGATAGAATATTTTCTAAAAAAAAAAAAAAAATAATGAGTTTCTCCTTTACCAAAGTGAAAAAAAATGTAAAGTACATGCAAACTTTAAAAATGTAAATTGCTTTGGAAGTATACATACCCTGTGAAGAAATGATGCATTTTTCATTTATTCATTCTTTAAGCCTGATACTCTTGACAGCTACAATGATAAAAATATTATATAAATATTTTAATGTACATGTAATCTAAACAAAAATGAATATTTTTTTCATTACTTTAGAAATTCTAGAAAATTACAACCATAGATCTGAACTGAAGTGGGGCTTCTATGTTTTCAACACAATGATACTGATATTTTTTAAAAAATTTGTGTATATCTGTCTGTCAAAAGACATCATAGCTTGTATCACTGTCGGGTATCCGCGCCGGTTGTGACATGTTTGGATGCGGTGAAAATGGC